TGTTTTTCTCCCACATTTGTCAGAGGTGGGGGGTGGGGAGAAGGAAACCTAAATGAAGTTAATCTTTAAATTCCCTTTTTCCAGATGCCAAGGTGAGACCTATTCAACTAAGAGTGTCTTACTTCAGACATGTTAATAATATTCATTAAGCACAGCTCTCTTTTACATTCAGTCAGCCCTTGATTAGTAATCTCATCCTGCCTCCTTGCTTTTGACCTACCCTTTAATAAGATCTCTGTAAGTGGCTCATTCCATCCGCTACAATTTTAACTGAGAGAACAACTCACTGCCATGTCTGGAGGCCACCTCATTGTGGCCTTTAGTAGTTGGACTTTTACCAAACCTCATTTTGCTGCTCTAGCGAGAGAACTTTTATCCTCATGAATCCAGCCTCTAGAGACCCAATGCTTAGATACAACATTCTATATATGAGAGAAGTGTGTCATTTATTCGTCGTTCGCTTATGTTGGTGCGAAGTTTAAGAAAGGAGTGATTCACCGTGTGACTGAAACTTGAAGATTTTAAGCACTTTAAGGAAAGACTTGCTTTGAAGCTAAGTGCTGAAGTATACTTGAGCTCAGTGAAGAATTTGGAAATATGTTCTCCCATACACGACCAGAGTCTTCATTCGCTCATTCAAATGTTGCAGCTGATTAAGGATTGTGTTTCAGTGGTTAAACAGGAAAAAATCTTTTATTTGCCTTTCAAATGGCATTTCCCAGTGGCTTCAGTTACCATCTGTTTCTGATAACTCCCCAGTTTAGCCCCAGCCTAGACTTCATCTCTCAGTTCCAGACCACATAGCTAATCGCAGAGCCCATATTTTACATAGATGCTTTAAAGACTCCTGAAACGCAACATATCCCAACCCAACTGATGCTCTTTCCCCAGACATTTAGATCTCTGTCACTACCGACAGTTCTGGGGATGGAACCTCCGATCGTGTGTTTGCAAGAACCAGAAACCTGCGAGGCATATTTGAACCACCTCTCAAAGGTCATCGTCAATTCTTGACATTTTTAACTCCCACATTAAGCAAATCTGTGCCCTCTTCTCTCTCTTCTTTGTCTTGCATCATCTAATTCTTAGCGTGGCCATCTCTTCCTTTGGCCACTGCGATAAGAATCCACTCCTCTGCTCCTCTCTCACTCTGTCTCTCCTCCCATCCAGAGTTCTTTGCTCTTGCCGAGTGATCTCACAAAAATGCAAAATTTGTGTGTTTCTGTGTTTCTCAAAGCCATCAAGCAGACTTCCATTTGAATAGAGAGTAAAGAATATAATCCTTAACCAAGCCTACAAGGTTCTCTGTGCAAGAGCTGACTTGTGCCCAATAATACTTCCTGATGCCTGAAGGCTTCACATTTTGGGATATAAACAAATATCGCATAGTTTTCTGTACTGTGTTTACAGCATCAGCATCGCTTTATTGGAACTGGCATGGAAAGCATTAAACTAGGTAGACCCTCAGAATGTTGCTAATAATAGTATCTAAAGCATGGGCCTAAGACAGACTCTGAGTGAAATTCTATGAATTAATGACCACAAAAATCAAGAGTTTTTCTTTATGAGCTTAGTATCTGTGCACTGTTTAGTCTTACTTGTGTCCTTTGCAAGGTGAGCCACTATGAAGCTGTATAACAGGTTGTTTTCCGTTCCAGTCTCTTTTGGACTGGGAAGAAGAGCTATGTCTGTGGTCTTTGGAGTTACACAGGTACACACCGTGCATTGCCCTTACTATGTGGTCGAGCGGTTCTAGCTTCCAGAGTCTTAGTCTCTCCATTTATAAAATGCTCATGGTCAGTGTCATTCCCTCATAGATGTTCGTAAGGAATGGGTGCGAATGTTCGTATAAAGCCTTTAACACACTACCTGGCACAGATGAGCGTTCTGTAAATGCTTCAAACAAACATCCACTGTGTAAAGGGACGTCAGGGTTTCCTTAATGCATTCATAACACACTGAGTTCCTCCACCAGACATCACTCAGGAAAAAGAAACCCTCTGGCCAGAATTCTACCAAGGGCAACTGAATGCCCACAAGGGATCCTGTGCTATCAACATCTCACCATTTGTGGAAGTTTTCTCTGAGCCTTAAACTCTTGGGATTAGAGTGCCTAACACAACTCCTGTACCCATGGTCAATCATGGAAAATAAATATTTTTTTTTATGCAAAAGGAAGAAATTTTGGTATAACAAGAAGGCAGGCATTTATGCATGCCCAGACAACTCAATCTTCTGGAGTCATTGCCATTGTTTCTTGCCAGCTCACCCTCCCTCCACAACTTAATCCAAGGCCAAAGCCATTTTTTTCTGCAACTTTGGTTGTAGGAAGCTAAAAATGACAACAAACACTTTTTTTCTGCCTACCAAATATTTTCCTAAGTCCAAGAAGAGACCATTATTAGAGCAGTTGGGTGATTTTGCTGGGTTTTGCCCATAAAATGTCTCACCTCAGATCTCTTAGGTCACAGGAGTATCTTGGGGTGGGTCCAGTTGGAATAACTTATCTTCCTTTAAACTATTTTGTTTTCTCTCCTTCCTAATCCCTCAATTTCCAAAAAATAACAGTTTATTCACAATTTTTTTTTATTTCCAGAGTTCTAATCTAGGCACCAAATTGATTTATACAGATGAACATTAGCTTTCTTTTATTTTGACCAAAAATAGCCATTTATTTTTATTATTGAACCCCCATACCAAGAAGCCTTAGGTACTTTGAGATAATTTACTTCATTGAATTTATGAAGGCTTTGCCGATTTTTCTCATCATTGGCATTTTTCCTCCTGATTTTGTAGATGTTCTTTATATAATAAGAAATTTAACCTCTTTGCAGTAGGATTTGCGAGTATTTTTCATATTTTTTCAAATGTTTTTACTCTGGTATTTTTTATAGAGGTGTGTAAATGTAATTTATCAGTCTGACTTGTCTTTGTTCTATTCTCATAACTACAAGAACGTCTGGCCGCAGTTCTGCGAGTCCTTTGTGAATGAATGGACAGCAGCTGGAACACAGGTGGATCATGCCTATAAGGGTCTAGGTTCTTGACGTTATATGTGATATCATTCTTCATCTTTTCCTGGGGTACCCAAAGTGCTTCAGAAAACTGTTATGGTGCCTAACACTGACAAAACATCTGCCTCAAATATAAACCATTATTTTGTGAACCCAATAAATCCTATTAGCAATTGCATGTTAATTGCATGTCTTAGAAGTGATCTTTGGGACACGTCCATTAAAGTTGCAATCAGGACAATTCTCAAATTTATGAATTAGAGACTAGAAATGCTACAAAATTGGGATGCCTGGGTGGCTCAGTCGGTCAAGCATCGAACTCTTGATCTCGGCTCAGGTCATGATCTCACATTTTGTGAGATTGATCCCCACAGCGCAGAGCCTGCTTGGGATTCTCTCTCCCTGTCTCTTTGCCCCTTTCTCTCTCTCTCTCTCTCTCTCTCTCTCTCTCCCTCCCTCCCTCCCTCCCTCCCTCCCCCTCTCCCTCTCTCTCTCTCTTTCTCTGCCCCTCCTTCACTTGCCCAAGTGTACATGTGCATGTGCTTTCTCTCCCTCTCTCAAAATAAACACTAAAAAAAAAAAAGAAATGCTATAAAAGTATAGAGGGAAGCCCTTTCTTCATTTATGGAAATGTAGGGAATTTAATAATTTTTCCCCAATGGAAGGTACTCTTTTTCAGAAAATACAGGGTGTATTTTATTATGTGGGTTTTCAGGGAGGAAAATGGGTTAACAATGTCATAATTAATTTCTCTATATTGTTTTAGAACATAATATATTTCATTTTGAAAGGTTAAAAATAGTGTTAACAGAAAATAGCATTCTCCGAGTACTGAAAATTACTATAGGAATTTAGTCTTTCAGATAAATCTTAAACTGCAGAGTCATCACTGGAATAATTCATTGCATTTCCCAGATTAAAAAAAAAAACTTGTTAGTTATTTATCAAAATTTTTAGAAAATGAAACAATCTCGATATTATTCCTTTGCTACGTTCCATGCAAAGAGAGCGCCTGTAAATAGCACAATTTGCAGTTGATGATAAGCTTCTCCCTGAGAAAAAATAATAGTTTGTGTTTGTGCCAGATGCTTTTCCAGCATTAAGTGCCATAAAAATCCCCTAAAGTGTGTTCAGCAGATAAGGCAAAGTGCCAAAGAATGGCAAAGAATTAAGTTGAACCCTGTTCACATACAAAATCCATTGAGACACCATATGCATATTTCCATTTTAAAATCAAAATGTGAAATTAATTCAACATGCATTTAATCGGCACCTATTTAGAGATCCATCCTAGGTTCTAGGGACAGAATGATGAGTAGCATCAGGTCTTTCTCTCTCTGTTGAGAAATTCAGTCTCTACTAGAAGAAACAGACATTTAACCCTTCATGTGTCAGTGACAAGTGTTATAATGCAGCCATACCCAAGACTGCAGGCAAGAGGTAACATGTGAGGAGTAGATATCTACCAAGCAAGTAACCGTTCTCTAGACAGAGGGAAGTTGTCATGCAAAGGCTTGAAAATTACTTCTTGTGGTGGTATTTTCTGGAAGAGAATACAAGGGAGGCCTGTCCCTCCCTGATCTACACTGAAAGTGGTTGTCCTCTCTAGAGAGCAGGCATCGTGACGGTGAGGGTCACGACTGTGGGGTTGTGCCAGGGGGCAGGCAGGTTGCCTGGAGGGGGAAGCTGGAGGTTATTTAAGGGAAGCATACATGTCATGCCAGGAAATAAAGACATTTTTCTCTGTTACTGATACCAACACCCACAACAGCTTGACCCTCCCCTACAATTAGATTCAACATTTCTAATTCCCCCCACATTTTAACTAGCACGTGACAATCACCCACCAAGCAAAGCATTAAATTATGGGCATTGTGAAAAGGTACTGAACATTGGCTGAGCAATTAGGCAACATGGTTCTTCTGATTTCTCTTAGTTTCATACAAAAACCTTTTTTGTGATTATATCACTAGAATTAAAACTCACTTGAAGTTTCTGGCTTACAGAAAGCTCCCATCAATGTTGACCAAACTTAGGCAAGGCCACATGTTCCTTTTGACTTCATTACATCATTTGTACTGGCTTCTAGAACCCACTGTTAGCCATTGTCCCCCCCATCAGGACCCCACCACTAGAGGTCAGTGAGGCAGCTATCTGGATTGCAAATACACATAAACCGTGGCTTCACAGCAGGAACCAGACAAAACCTCTCAAATTAGCTCCTCTCACTCAAATAAGTACTCTACTTTATCACTCGCATTACATACTTGAAAACATTAAATAGTTAATGTTTAAAAATCATGAAGTTTGTAGATGTATTGAGAAACTTCGAAGAGGTAAGTGAGTCCATCTAGATTACTTTTTTCACAACTACATAAGTACTTAGTGACAAGGTATTTTCTTTGCTTATAAAATCAGAGTTACCTAATGTAGCTGAGAAATTGTGACATGCCTCTCTTCTTTTACTTTATTTTTTTTTTAATTTCTTTCTTCCAGTGCGTAGTGGTACTGTATAAAAATCACTCTACTCTTGTGGCATTATCTCTTTTTTTTTTCTATCTTTTTTTTCTATTCCTGTGACTCTTACTGTTCATTTCTGTATTGAAAAGCACAGAAGACAGGAATACATTTAAAGTAAGGCATCAATCACTTGAGCTCAAAGAGAACACTCTTAATTGAATCGTGTTTTTCACTTTAGGGCTCAGTGCAAGTGAATTTTCATTTTTATTTGTAATGTAGTCATCCACTTAACATGTGAGCTACATAATCACAAGTTAAATTAAGTTATTAAATACTCCTTATGGGACATGCAATTAAGGGAGAAAAATACCTGTATCACATCATTTTGCCCACGATATAGGAGAATTTGAAAGGTTCCTGTATCCATTGCAGGAGGGCAAACGTAAAACAAAGCACTACTCTTTCAGTTCCTTCTTCAAATGTTTTGTTAAGTGGAGTAGCAGAGAAGGCATTCTCCCAGCTTACCAGAGTGGTCTTTATGTGTCTCCCGGCTAGAAGTTTCCCTCAGTAAAAGAGCCGTGAGTACATGATAAAAGAAGCTAGACATGTCTAACACTAAGTCAGTTTGTTGCAAATAAAACAGTGGGCCATATACTTGTTATAGTAATGTTTTAAATGTTGTGCTTGATTTTATTTTTTTCATAGAGTTGGGGATGCCCCACCCCCCCCAAATGAATCATAGCAATGCATTCATCATAAAGGTAAAACTAATGGGGACAGAGGGCCAGGCTGCAACAAAAATTAGAAGAACAGAGGTCAAAATTGCAAAGAGAAAACGCAAGGACTTGGGAAGCACTTCTTTGAGACTTTAGAATTGTATGGAAGTCACCAAGGTTGATTTGCTCTTTTGTATCTATCCCTCTTTGATAGAAGTTCCCCCAAGTGCCTGTGTATAGGAGTTATTTTTTATTTCTTGTTATGTCTTGCTTTTTCTTGGGTGATACCCATTGTTCATATTTAGTAAATGTTAAATTTTCAAATGATTAAATATTAATCTTAAAAAAACCTAGACTTTGGCTATTTACTAAAGAAGGGCCCATCTTTGAAGAAAACGCTCTAGTATTTAAGATGAGTGGTTCTGAAACTTTGATATGCATTGTAAGCTTCTGAGTAGGTTTTAGAACTCGGATTGTTGAGCCCCAGCCCCAGCCCCATCATTTCTAACTCAGTAGGTCTGGGATGGAGATTGAGAATCTGCGTCTCTAGTAAACCAGCTGCTTCTATGGCTACTGGTCTGGGGACAGCTCTCTAAGAACTATGTCTTTACTTCTTTCAACGTTAAATGAAGCTGAGAGTTGATAATGAAAGAATTAAGATATAATAATTAAGACAGAATACGATAGAATAGAATAGAAATCTGCTGCTGGTATATACAAAAGTGATATTCAAAATGTTTAATAAGCCGCTGACCAATTTTTTAAAAAATCTTTTAACATTTATTCATTTTTTGAGAGAGAAAGACAGAGAATGAGCGGGGGGAGAGGCAGAGATGGGGAGACACAGAATCTGAAGCAGGCTTAAGGCTCTGAGCTGTCAGCACAGAACCTGACATGGGGCTAGAACTCACTAACTGTGGGATCATAACCTGAGCTGAAGTCAGATGCTCAATTGACTGGGCCACCCAGGCACCCCATGTACTGCTGACCAATTTAAAATGCACACTGGCCCTAACCCATAGGGTTGAGCCTGTACACACTGTTTTAGTATTAAACTTGAGTGAATGTACACAACATAGAAACAACTGCACGTAGATAAACCAAAACATTAAACTTTCCTGAAGTAATTTTTTAAAATAATTCTTAAAATGTAAATCTAAAGTAAGTGTTTTAGAATTTAGGATACTATATCATGTTTTGTCATTTTATTTTTTTTTATCTTCAAAACAATAATCTAAGCCAAAATTAAAAACATGAGGTAACTTATTATAAAAAAAAAGGAAAGGGGCGCCTGGGTGGCGCAGTCGGTTAAGCGTCCGACTTCAGCCAGGTCACGATCTCGCGGTCCGGGAGTTCGAGCCCCGCGTCAGGCTCTGGGCTGATGGCTCGGAGCCTGGAGCCTGTTTCCGATTCTGTGTCTCCCTCTCTCTCTGCCCCTCCCCCGTTCATGCTCTGTCTCTCTCTGTCCCAAAAATAAAAATAAAAAAACGTTGAAAAAAAAAAATTAAAAAAAAAAAAAAAAAGGAAAGAGAGAGAGGAAGGAAGGAAGGAAAGAAAGAAAAAGAAAGAAGGAAAAAAAGAAGGAAGGAAAGAAAGAAAACAAAGAAAAGAAAGAAAGAGAAAGAAAGAAAGAAAGAAAGAAAGAAAGAAAGAAAGAAAGAAAAATTTACCTGGCTCAGGTATTATCTCTACCCACTGCCCCAAAATGGATCACAACTTCTCAATTAACTACTCTTTACTTTTCTGATGTTGCATTTTAACATGATAACATTCATTTAATTTTCATACAGTTTAATATGTGGCAAAATTACATATTAATAACTAACAAAGACTACCATGTTCCTTTTGAAATCATATGTGTTTATGAAAATTAATATTGGTTGTGGGAGCTACATGTTTGTGCTAATAATAAACTTAGTTTTTAAAAATCATATTAAGATACCTTGTATTAAGGAGACATAGAATAAAAGTATACAAAGTATTGATGCTAATGAGATAAGATGATAGATGCATATGAATATTCACACAATATGAGTTTCATAAGAGAATAGGGGTTTATCAAGAAGTCTCTTACTTACATGAGTAAAATAAATGTGTGGGTGTATGTGTGTGTGCGTGTGTGCATGTGTGTGTGTGTGTGCATTTCAAAAGAATGAGACTTCTCTCCCAATTGTGGCCATTTAACAGTTATTTTTGTCTACTTTGGGACTTCAGTTACATTTAAACTTGAAGCCATTTTGAAATGCTGAAGATAAAATTTGAAGATGAGAAAGTATGACTGGCTACTGATGACTAGGATGTGGTGATGACATTTAAAGTGGCATCATTCTATTCTGCAGGAATGTGTGTGCATATCTTTAATGTCAGCTCTTGCCTCTGGGATGACACTTGTTAGATTTCATGCTGTCATGTGCTATTTCAAGGGTGGTAGAGTGACGTTTATTATACAACACCCTATATTATACTCATTATTTAAAAGGAAGTTGTCAAAGCCCAGTTTCTATTGTTCTGCTAACTTCTTTGTGTACTATGATCATCTGATTCTGTTTCAGTCTCAAAATACAGAATGCTGAAGTGTGCCATAATGAAGTAGTCCACTTATTTAACCTTGGAATCATTCCTGTGAAAAATAATGGGTTGCTTGTGTCCGATGGTCCCCAGGTTTCTGGGAATGACTTGATTCAGAGGCTAATAATAGGAAACAGCCCCGAGGGAATATGAGGTGGTATGGTACATCCAGTGCCTCTCTGCCCAAAGGAAAAGCAGCTGAGGCCCAAAGAAACATCTCTGACCAACTGCTGCTTTCAAAAAAAATCTCCCAGCAGGACTCCCTCTTAGGCTACAGCTTTGTCTGCAGTCACAGAAATATTAGATGGGGCTGAATAATTGATTCAGTCCAGGAAGTGGCTGAAAGGAATACAGGGAGCTCACTGGATATACTTCCTTTGCACAAGGAACCCATCTTTATACCACACACCTCTATCAAGATGGATCAAGATTTATGGGGTCAACATGCAGAGACTAGAAAATTTATACCGGTGTAAACCAAGAGCAGTCCAATAAATCCTACGAACATTAAATAAAGGTCTAATGTAAAATATCCAGAAAGGGTTATCTGTCTACATTTGGTTTCCAACTTGTATGCCCAACTCCTCCCCACCACTTATGCCCTGCACTGTCATAATCACATTGACGCCTCCAGTGTTACCAACCCCTCTATGCTTTACCATTCCCCCTAAATTTTCTATGTCCTGATCTCTCCATAGCACTTTGGATCTTCTTTTTTTTTTATTTTCAAATTTGGGGAAGGCTTAGTTACCTTTTTTTTTAATCAGATAATTTTTAATTGAAATAATTATTATCAAGATGCTCTGGGACTATTACTCAATTAACAAGTGAGTATACATTTTTATTATGTTTTTAATAGATCAGGTGTCTCACTTGGGAGGGAGCCCACCAACTCTTGTTTATTCTGTCATCCCCTTCTCTCTATGACTCTCTGAGCCATTTCACTGGATGGAAGCATTGGCTTAGCTGTGCCTGTGGAGAGAGTATTTTGGGGAGGTGTAAATACTCTCTTCACTTGCAGGGGTTCCTTTGGAGTAAGTTTCTTAATATCCAAAATAGTGACATTCACCTGGTCCTATGGTGTGTTAAAACAGTCTTGCCTGATTTGAAATACTACTGAGAATGCAGATTTGCAAGGAACCTTAAAAAAAAATATATATATATATATACACACACATATATACATATACATATACATATATATACATATACATATATACATATACATATATATACATACATATACATATATATACATATATACATATATATATATGAGGTATAAATGGAGATAGCACTGTTAATATAAACCCTGTCTTTTAATATGTATTACATATAAAACATTCACTTCTATGTCAGGAATAAGAATGCGGACAGAGAGAAGAGAGGAACTTTGCTTTAAGAGAAAGTGTGTAGCCAGCTGTCTAGAGAAGAGGACCGTCTATATTGTGGATTTTATTAAAAATGCATATTGCCCTCAAAAGATAGGACCAAAGGAATCGATTTGTTAAGAAGGAGAACTAGGCAGGAAAAAAAAAGACACAACTCTGTTCATCAAA